CAGGAGAAATTCCTAGTGTGGGGCAACGTTTAAAAAAATAACGACTGCGATAACTTACTTTATAGTTTTTTCTTAAGTCGTTGTAATGATATTTCATATTGCTGAACGTAATCAGTCCCTTTTGCCCTTCACAAATCAAATACGGTATCTGACAACAAGTCAAATTCAATACTTTTTTTCAAACTGCAAAAACGACAGTTTTCTGTGAATTTTATACGAGATTGTGAATTGTGTTGTGACGTCACCTTTTTTAGCGTCAAACGGCGTACTTATTTCTTTAAAAAAATGCTGGAAATATACTAAAATTAAGTTAGTTATAAAACCAATTAATGAAAGTGTGATTATTTTTTAATATTTTATTGTATTGAACAGTCAATTTATTTCTGATTATGGAAAATACCCAATTTTATTCTAACAACCGTAAGTATTTCGATCACAAGATCATATTTGTAATGAACGAAGAACTAGTCAAGGCTATATATAATTTAATATTTGTAGTAAAAATCAGTACTTTTAAATATTTTCATTCCGTAAAGCCAACGAATACAAAGTTGAAAACTTTTCAGGTTTTTCTTTAGAACAAGATAATATATATTCCGGTCGGATTTCAAAGGAATATTAAAAAACTTCGTACAAAAGAAAACAAAACTTTTCGTGTTGTAGAAGAGTGGTTTCAACATTTCAAGAATTTAATGTTGAATACCTACACTAGATCGAAAAGGTAGCGTAAACATGACATTACATCAACAGTCGGAGTATGAATGTAGTATATCCTTTTAAGGTTTCGCGTAATTTCCACGCTTGGGGAAATCTTATAATCATCACCATCGTCATTAGCCGGAAAACGTGCACTACTAAAACCATTAGATATTATAGTTTACAGTAATTCCCAAGTTCTCCAGTAATTATCAATTTATTGTAACATATAAAATAGTGATTATTATAAATAAACATCACTCAGTTACACAGTACTTATTTCTTCTCAATGCTAAATAAAAAAGTAAATCTTTGTTCATTTTACAGTCCATTGAAGAGCTAACTAAATCTTTCAAATCAAGTATTTGGCCTAAACAATACTACTAGCAATAGGTCGTCAACAATCATAAATATAAGGTATAAAGAACAAAGCACTAATCTTGTCACTTTTAGTCAGCAGACCCCATACTCTTTTATCTATATCAATAAAAAGGAATTTTTATTTGTTAGTCTCGTTAAAACTCGAGAACGACTTAACCGATATGGTTAAATTTGGTCTATTAATGTTTGTGAAAGTTCAGGAATGACTTAAAAGGTGAGAAAATATTTTAGGCGGTACGAAGTGTGCCGGGCCAGCTAGTAACCAATAAAATTCATGTTCCAAAATAGACCATTGTCTTAATTAGAAACCCAAAAATTGTAATTTATGCAATACTTATTTGCCAAATACTTCTTATAATTTTATGAAGTAGAAATGAACACCACAAAAATGCATTATAAGTACTACTTTTTTTTATTTTACCATTTAATGTCTGTGAATTAAGTTCAAAAAATGGTGAGTACATATATGTTGGATTACTATATTAGATATAGTAATATAAATAAATCACAATTTTTATAGGGGCTAGTTTGAAATATTTGTGTCATAATACTTAATTATCGTCGGCTGGGCCCGACAACTATTAAAGCTGCTTTATTTTTAAATTGAATCTGACATAGATAAAACATGATAGGTACTTATACAATAAATATTACAAACCTACTATATTTATAGTTGTATTCAAAAGTATGGACACAAAATAATTTGGGAGCCCTGGCATTCTCTAATTGTGATATTAGTTCCATAAAATTAAAATAAAGGTACAATAGGGTAATTTCGTAAATTTTCTTTTAATGTCCATCTAATATATTATTTTATTATACAATTTTAGACGAATAACTTGACAAAAGGAGATAGAACTACATAGATATAAACAACTTAAGCAAATAAAAAGACTTTAAAAAACACAAAAATACCATTAATCTGATAGATTCATTTATAACATTAAACACCTATAGGTATTTTATTTTCTTACGGAAACATATTTGTTCGACGATATGTTGGTTTGAAATATTGCATATCCTACTCTTAAACTGTGATTCGTTTTATCTAACTATGACAAAATAAAAAAAATACTTGTCTAACATTTTTTCAGTCAATCACCCAATTAATCATAGTAGTTGTGATTAAAATAAAAAAAATAAACACACTAGATTAAGAACATATTAAAAAAATGTTGTATGTCTGTACAGAAACAATGTGGCGCACTACCATAATATTATCTACCATCTATTGTAACATACCTACATTGACGAAATAAATAATATTTGTATTTGTATTTTAACTAACGAAAAGCTGTAAGCTAAGTTTAATGACTAAATAGAATACAACCATAACTGATTAAGTTTATATTAGTCCAAACGATGCATAATTCTAAGTATTTTCAATATGAAATGTCTCAACATACATACATAAGTGTCAGTTGAGCAGAAACTAAACCAAATATTATAAAACAAGCCCTCAATACGTGGACCTCAATTTATTCCTTCGGGATTAAAAGGCGTGATTCTATCAAACCTTTATTCATAAATCGGATACGGGTACTGTAAACTCCTTACTATTAGTAAATATCATCATCATCATATCAGTCATAGGAGGTCCACTGCTGAATATAAACCTTCATTGGGGAAGGTTTATATTCAGCAGTCGACTTCCAGATATGCCGTTCGGAAGCGACCTGCATCCATCTGGTTAGTAAGTATAACATTACATAACATCACGCCTTTTTATCCCCGAATGGGTAGGCATAGTGTGCAGAGGTGCACATTACGGCACTTAATACTACTGTACAATGTAACACTTTTACTATTTATGTTATGAGTCCCATGTAATAGAGGGTGAGCTTATTGCCATATACCGAGCACAGTTCCAAACTCCGTGCTACTATTGAGATTTTTTTTAAAAACCCATTAATATTTTGCCCGACCCGGGAATCGAAGCCGAGAGCCCTTCACCGGCAGTCACATTTGCGACCACACGGCCAATGAGGTAGTCCAAGGCCAAGGTAGAGAGAGTGAGTAGATTATTAAGTATATAAAGTTTTAATTAATTATTATCAACTGTTCAACTTGTTACTATGATGTAAAAATATTATTAAAGTTTAAACCAATTCTTTTCATCTTATTTCTTCGCTGCTTAAAATATTAAAATGTAAGTTAAGTTTCCCCAGTAATGTCAGTTTTTGATCTGTGTTACTATAAATCTCACCGCTTAACCCTGGTTTTATAATTAACCATTTGTGGTTAGTATAATGACAAAAGGTTTAACTTACTGGCCTACACCCTTAGGGTCGATTTTTCCAACGCCTGATAAACTTTATCTTAGGAACAACTTTGAGTATTTGACAATTCTTCCATACCAAAAACTGTCAAAAGTCAATTTTATTCTACAGTTAATAATTAACACGTTCGAGGACAGAACGAGATTATACGTCATCGTTCGAGATTTTAATATCGCACAACGTACGATGACGTTCAAATAACATTTAAATTATACGGCAGAACGTTCATTTCCGATGAAAGTTCAAGTAAAAATCCTTTTAAATGTATCTTGTGTCACAACATATAAAATACCCAACTTTGTACTCACGTAGGGTAAGTTTAGAACTATTTAAAATAAGTGTCGTGATAGTGTGCGGTTACGGTATTCACATACGCACAACGTGTTTATACGTCCCGCGCTCCTACATTCAGCGCGGCTGTGTCACTGTGTACATTACTTTAATGCAAATTAATGATTTTACAGTGTGAAATTGATGTTAATGGGTTATTGTGTGTTTTAGATGGATATAAGCGCAAAATAAGACACAAGATAAGCATGTTTGATGATTCCGACATCTCCAAGAGCGGATCCTTACCTAGATGCATATACACGTTGACGTGATAAAACGATTGTGTCATGATATGTTTAAAACGATATTTCTTCATGGGACACTACGTACTGATACGTCGTATAATTTTGTATAGACATGTACTGTGTCATTTTGAAAACCCGACTCAAGTGGTAGCGTCCTCGAACGTGTTAACTGATGATTTAAAAATCGGCTCATAGTAAATTTCCTGATTAACTGAAATTATATTTATATGTGTCTGTCATCATATTCCCATAAAGAACACAATTACCTAATGCATTTAATATCATAATAGATCTCTTTGTAATATCCTCTCACCTATGAAAATTTTACCTTTCATGGAGAAGCATATCAGCCGCGGGCAAAACCACGGCTAATGACTAGTCAGCAATAAAACAATTACCTTTCGTTTACAGCTAAACGGGTTTCATTTATGAATATGAATTGGCACGTCAATAACTTTAAACCGTATCATTAAATATTAATTCATTGTTAACAGTTATGTCATTCAATTCAATTGTTATTATCCATGGTAGTAAGTACGTTACTATTTAAGAGTAAACTTTAGTGTTACTAGATATAGTAAAATGTGTAATCAAGCGTATGATAAAACAATAAGATACTAAAACAATGTTAGTTTTTATTTAAAACATTGTACACGTTATATTTATTTCCTTATTAAAATATGCTATTTTAACCTGGCACACGGATTATATTTAAAAACAAAATAATAGACGAAATATGGCAATACAAATAAATAAAGAGATTTATATAAATAATCGTAGCAAATATTCCTAAAGGAATTTTAGAAGCAAAACCTCTACGGTTACGCAAACCGCTACGTCTATTCGTAGCCGTAACCGCTACGCAAGTTCTACGTCGTCGTAGCCGCGTAGCGGTGAGAATAAGATAATGCAGTTTTTTTATTTGTTGCTGTTTTAAAACAACATTTCTTCACAATTTATTTGTGATATACTTTTAATTACTGGATTAATTATGTATTTATCGTGAATAAATAAAAACGTTTGATAGGTATGTGTTTACAGGAATGCCGTCGGGTAAAGTTTTACTTACGTTGTAAATTCATGGATGGAGGAAATATATGGTGGTTCCTCATGGCAGCATCTTGTGGTCGTGCACACTGCGGTGGTGGAGGCTGGTAGCGCATGCCCTGGTACCGGTAGGCAGCCTGTGACATCTGGCCGCACGAGGCGAGCTCGCCCCAGGACAGCTCGCCGCCGCCGGAGCCCAGACATCCTCCGTCGAACCCGCCGCCCGCGCCGCTCAAGTACCCGTACTCCATGGCGTTCAGTCAACACCAGCTATCTACCCAAACACCCGGACATGTGCTTCGACGAAGCTCGTAATTAATGTTTCGCGTAAAACAACAATAGTGCCGCGAAAGCGCCGCGCCGCGCGGGGCGCGTGCGTCTTGTGTCGGAACGAACCGCGCGAAGGCTCACAGCCGCATAATTGGATGAGCCGCGACTATATCGAATTATGCCGATTACAGATGGTATCGGATCTCAGCGATAGTTTTTGCCAGCGCGGAGGACCGCGCGCTCGCCCCACTTGAAATCGAATGATAAGCCTAATTCAATAAGGACGATCCTCGAGGACGGGGCGGGGCGCGCACCCCCGACGCCGCCCAATGGCCGGCGCCGGCAACACAGCGCTGCGCTTCCATTGGTCGCCGCGCACCCCCTCTCCGCGCGTCACTCGGGGGTGCGTGTCACGACACTTGTCTACTTTTCTTTTCGCCGACAGTTCCTTTGTCATTGAGGAAAATAAAAAAGTTGTAATTAACGATCCAGGTAGGTACCTACTTAACGAATGACTGTAGGTATTTAGGGTACAACTTCGTTTAATATAGCGATACTTAATTAATTAAATAAAAATGTCTTGATTATTATTATTTTTAAAGTTACTAAAATTAAAAGAACAAAGTTAAAAGTTGAGCTTTATCTTATGCTTAATATTTTGTCTCCAGTCGGATCAAGTTGTATTAAAAACTTTTAGCCTTTTCTAACACTACACTCGAATACTATTAAACTGCTATTTAATATAACTTACAAATAGATTTACTGTCCAATAAAACTTAGACCATTTTCAAATCTTATCAAATCATCTGTTAACGACATCATAGAAGTTTTGAAACAACAATAAAAATTAGCAAAACAGAAGGCGATATTACAAAGGTTACTTATAAATCAGTTGTAATAAGACGGAATCATTTCATTTAGTTTCGGTTCCTGGGGGATAACTCGATAACTGATAAAACTTGTGTAAGACTCCGCGCGGGATGTAAGACGGGAGCGACGCGACGCGACGCCACTGAATAAGTAAACACACAAATACTACAGGCACAATGTTTTTGTACTCCGTTTTATAAATAATTAGCTAAATTAATTTTCTTTATTACTTATTTCCTAAAGTTGATCAGGTATAAATACGACTGCTCAATTTAAGGTTTTCTGTTCGATTTTTATTATCAAACGACTATTTATTGCTAGCTTTAATTCGTTTGTTTGTTGGTTTGTTTTGGTTAAATTTAGTAATCGGAATTTCACCGCATGCCTGACGACATATTAATCTAACGAAAAATAAATAGTATAAGTACGTAGGTACATTAAGTATTTATAACTCCACTTACCCTTTCTAGGAAAAGTATCTATCCAAATAAATAGAATGATGAAATAGGCGTATAAGTATAAGTTATCAATTAGCACCCCCTAAAATTGTTCTTTACAAAACTTATAACATTCAATCATTTTTTTTTAATGAATGACCAATCCATTCTGTCTCTTCGGTAAGTTTTACGTTCCGATTGTGATGTGATTCTTTTATTTATGTACACTACTTGTTGTAGATACTAAACAAATACATTCTTGGATAACAATATATATAGGTAATTAGATAAAAAAGTGTTATACCTACACGAATTTTTATTTTGTCGTACCTAAAAAGTTACAATACTGAGAAAAATAAAACGTATCACGTTTAGGATGTGAACGAAACAAAACGTCTTTTCTACGTATAAAACGTACTTACTTGGAAGTGACGTCACGCGATATTCAACAATCAATTATCATTATCATCGAAAGTATTTGTTTCTATAAGAAAATAAAAAATACGTGCATGATGGTTTAAAATAATCTACCAGACATTTAGGATATAAAATAAAAATTAGTCATCTACCTACTAGATAAGTACCTAATAGGGTAGATGTTCTACGTTACTAGGTAAGTACCTAGTAACGTTGTTTAACTATTTAAAATCTGAGTCTAAGTACTAGAAAACACTTAGAGGAAACAGTACAAAGTTTCTAAATTCCTCGTAAAACAATGGAATGATTCGTGAAAAAAGTGTCTTTACTTACAAACACATCTAAGCTCAGCGGGATACAAACAAGTGCAGGGGATCGTGTGAGAATATGACGCGTATAATATTCACAATATTGAAATTACATCTCCGGTCCTTGGGGACATCGCACGCGACCGCGCCCGCTCCGCGACTCACAGCCCGCTACCTTATTTATTATTTATATTAATTACACCGTTGCTAGTCACTTTTTTGCTGTTCGTTTTTTATTGCTTTCCCTAGCTGGTTGCGTACATGACGATTAGTATTGTATCTATGATTTATTTGTAGCTGTATATTACCTATTGGAATTTTAATGACTTTTATTGATTTTAGTCCGGTAACTAGGTATTGCTTGTATATAAATGTACCAGAAATATTTTAAAATCAATGAATTATTAAAGATATAAAAAGGACAATCTCTGAAACAACATAGTTATTATTTATAACTTTAAAACAACATATTTACTATTTATAACTTTAAGAAGTAGTTTAACAGAATCAAAGTGAACAAGCAACCAAGAATCAAAGTGGATTTTAAGGATTTGTAGCTTGTACCCGAATTAAAAAATGACATTTTATAAAAGCATCATTAAATTTTTTATTAAAGATACTCTAAAACGTTGAATAAAGATATTATAAAAGGTATCTTTATCTACCAACAAGTAAAAGACAATTCTAATCAAACGACATACTGTCCCTTTTCATAAAAATAATCAGATGACAAAATCACTGAAGTTAAACTGTTGAAGTTGCAAGATATCAAAACAAATTCTGAATAAAGAAGTCTGACACCTTCTTTTACAAAGAAACTTTAATATACGCACATTACGATACATATAATTTTTGGTAACAAAGTGATTCTTTTTAGCCATTACCAGTTGAAAGAAAGGCTCGAGCAACACTTTATCATTACGGAAACCAAAGTGCGTAGACAGGGGTAACGTAAGTACCGGGTATTCTGAGCATGTCGCGTCTCGCGGGATGAAAAACACCAAGTCTCCGCGGTAAAATATGTGATCACTTAGCAACCTGCAATCAAACAACAACTGCCGCTTAGTTTTTCTCATTCGCTGTCGACGAATCTGCCTTTTTCTTTGTTTTTGTCTTTTTGTTTTGTGTAGGTATAAGTTTTTGTATGAGAATATTTTACTGAATATTTTTGCTGTTTTTGTTTTCTTTTAAATAAACATTATCTTAACTTTTAAGATAAATATACTGAGTAAACCTAAACAATTAAACATACACATACACCAATTATATATACTCCCCTATCTTCCAATTAAACCAAAAATCATAACAGCAAAACTGGCGTAGAAGCACACACAATTTCGACCTTGACACACCAAATCAGGATAAGACAAACCGGCTAAGCAAAACATTGCATGTATTTGTGGGCTGGCGCTGTCAGGTCGCAGTCTCAAGCCGCGGCATCTAATCTGATAATGCGTCGGTTATGGGCGGCGTGCGGCGTGCGTGCGCCATTCTCCACTTACCCTCGACTAATTCAATTTGCGCCCTCCCGGCCACATGCCGCGCTGCATCGCGACTGTCCCCATACTCGACTTGTGACTCGTACATATTTTTAATTAACGTTTTTGCTGCTGAAATAATTATACTTAACTGCTTTTGGTACTTTTACTACCTTAGGGTGCTTCAAGGTTCTGAAAACACTTAACTATGACGTTAATAGTTCAGATTTTCAAGCTGGTCACAGTATTCAACTTGAGTTGTTAATCAGATAACCCAAAAAACGTTTACATGTAAGATGTTGCTAAGTCGAATCATATAGCTTGCACAGTTAAAAATAAGCAGGATCATATAATGCCCATAGAATGCCCAGTTCCTAATGCTATAAAAATAGTCCTAATTCTGTAATCCTTAATTTTACACTTAAATAGCGGGGTAAAATTTATAGCCGTATTGCTCGTAGTTCGTTGCGCGTAGTTCGTAGCGCGTAGGAGTATTAGGTATAGCATTGAACAGATTTTTACGTATTAATTTTATGACATAAAGCAAAACGATTAAGCCACGCATTTTGACTCTACTCTTTGTAGCGGCTGACTCTCCGCTTTGCACGCTACGAGATTTATAGCGGGAAAACAATGATACTACGAACTACTAGCTACGCGCTACGACTCAGGGATATACATATGTAGTATTTTACCGAAACTTAAGTGTAAAATAAGGGCTTATAAGCTCAGGACTGAGCATTTTTGGTTGGGCCTAATAGTTTATATGCTTCAAGTATAGCACTGCCCAAAAACAAAGACATCACGGTTTGTGCGGTGCCTGGGCAATTGGCTGCCGCACAACGTGTCGCGTGTTCGATTCCCGAATGGAACAACTCTTTGTGAGAACCACAGATTGTATTTCTAGATCTGGGCGTGATGTGTATGTGAACTTGTATGTTTGTAGACGCACCCACAACACAGGAGAAATTCATATTGTGGGGCAAAGTTTTTAAAGAAAAAAAATGTTTCCAAAACAGAGTACCAGTGCAGTCAATGGTACTCTATTTTGGTAACATTCTTTTTACTTGACACTAGTTAAGTGAAATGAAAGTTAATGATAAAAATTTGATTTTAATTCCAATCTGCTATTCTATACGGAGTTTTAAAACTAAAGAGCCCTAAAATATGACACGGGCAATCTAACCCATCATCAAAACCGAACTGTTGGAACAATTTTAACTAATATTAATGACCGAAAAGTAACAAGTTTTAAGATAACAAGTTAATTACATGTACGATAAGTTCTAAGTAATTTGTTCATATTTTCTAAGCTTTCATTTAAATTTTATTTCAGTCAGCATAATATTGAATCATATCGTAAATATTAGTAAGCAAAGACAACCACAATTTTGTTGAGACTGCATCGCAAAAATAACTATAACGGGGAAGAAGGCTAGTTATGGTTCAATTCCTGAGTAAATTTAAGTAA